ATTTAAAAAAGGACTTGTGTCACTAAAGTTTCGTCGGAACGAATTTACGGAAAATTAACTAACGACTGGAGGCGTAACAATATGTTCAGATTGTCGATTTAGAATTTCCAAAACGGAGATATTTCTTATACTAAATTGCAATTGAAACAAAGGACTAAGGATCAACTTTGGGAACCAGGAACGTGTTCTTTCAGGAATATCCAGGAATGTTGAACTCATTTTCTTGAGTGAAATAATCTCACATGGAAATACCTTTAATTATGCTTGAGGTGGGCTACGAAAAATATTGGATAAACTGAGAAAAAAAGAAAACCTTAACCTGAATCCCAAGAAGAGTGGATTGTTCCATCGACCAGTGACTTTGCTGAAAGATATAATCAAAGAAGCGAAAGTGTCTATAGTCCCAACAAAGATTGAATCCATTCATAATAAGCCAACACTACAGAATTGGCTTTGAATAAAGGGAATTTTTGACTGCGCTTTTACTGTCGCTGTTTTGTAAATCATTCCTTACACAAATTCCTGGAAAAAACAGGTATTCAGCATATGAAGAAAGAATCTGCTATTATTCCTGCTTTACCATACCCAACTTTTGAAAATCCACTCATAATAAATACAGATGCCAGTGATTTTGGAGTAGAGAGCAATGTTATCATATGTACAGCATTGGAAAGAACTTGCAATTGTTACTATAGTAAAGCAATTAATTCTGCAAAAAGGAGATATTGTCGAACTTGAAAAGAACCACGGGATGTTTTTAAGCCCCGAGTCATTTCTATCACTACATTTATGAACAATTGTTTACACTCTGGAAAGATTATATAACATTGAAATTGCACCAGAAACCTCAAGGGTACAACTATAACATCATATATGGTCTTAGAGGGAAACGTAGAAGTACTGATGGATTATCCCGAACACATTGGCTTATATTACCAAAGGATTTAATCACTTAGAAGAGGGGAGCACAAGATAATAAAGACAACCAACCTTAAGTGCAGCAGAGCAAAATTCTAAATAAGACAGTCACGGATTACGACAAAGAACTGATGTGGTTCAACATTCAACTACAATGTGCTTAAGCAAAAGATTCGAGTTTGAAGAAGATTATTTAATGGAACGAGTATAGAATAATCTTTATGGCAAATAGTGGCTTAATACAGCCCCAAGACAAAGATGTACTAGACACAGTGAAATTTGTTATGCCTACAAGAAGGCTTATTGTGTTGAAATAGGTGGAGAACCGTGAACAGAAATTACGATTTCAGTTAGTCCTTCCACAGTGTGTACAAGCATAAGTACTTCGTCACCTCTACACCCTTCCACTCTACACCCTTCAAAAAGGCACCAGGAAGGACAAGAGACATTTCTACTGGTTGAATGCCGAAAATCTGTATAGGATTATTGTAAAATGTGTGGATCCTTCTCAAATATACAGCAAATGGAGTTAAATCATATTTGAAATTAAATTCATATTATTTTGCTGCCAGGATTAATCAAGAGCAAGTCAAACATTAAATAAAAAGATGCCTGAATTTGATGCTTTAAACCTTTTCTTAAATATCATATTGCTGTAAAATGACTTTATTTATATTTGACATACTGTATTAAATACGGTTGCCTTGTTGAAATTGTTATAAACAGGTCATACTTTAAAATTATACCTTTGGTTAGGTTATAACAGTATCGTATCCAGGGGATGAGGGGTAATATTTTGTCAGACTTTTCTGTCTTTTATAATTTTCTATTTAACAACAGTACAGAGTACATTCTCAAGCAGAATTCGAAAATTTTAGCTTTCCATCGTGAAAGTTCCATTAAAATGTGATTTTAAATTCTGGTCTTTCTTTGAAAAATTGGAGGTGGTGATTATTTCACATATTATATAACACTGGAAGAAAAACTTTAATATAACAGCAAATGTTTTTCTTCGTTACCCATTCAAGCCGTCTCCAGCCATTATTAGTCTCAAAGTGGGTTCCTCGTCATCGAATAACACAGGAAGATTTGAGCCGTCTCCCCACACACGCTCTCTGGGTGATCCTGGACACGCCACTCGATATCTTTTTTATGTTTATCCAGTCATGTTTAACTAAGAGTTTTGTGTTTTGTAGTTATAATTTCAATTACTTATTTAGTGTTTAAAATAAGTTATACTTTTTTAAATGTATACAACAAACTTTGACTACATAAAACTGTATTACTTTGTGGCATGTTCAAATGCCAAATAGAACATTTGACTAATCTGCTTATTACTGTAAACAAAAACTAATAATAAACTTCAATATCATTTTCATTAAAGCCCCACGGAGGCTCAGCGACTAGAATGAGCTTATAGCGCTAAAAAATTGAGGTTCTATACCCGCGGTAAGCAAAGCACAGATAGCCCATTGCTCAGCTTCGTGTTCTACAACAAACAAACTTCTTATTGATTTGTAGTTAAGCAGAAAGCAACACAATGGACTGTCTGTACGGGTATAGAAAATCCGGTTTATAGAATTATAAGCCTTCAGATTTACCACTGAATCATTGGGAGGCATTTGTTATTGAAAAAAAAAGGGTTGAAACCACTACTGTGTATTTAACGTTTGCTTGGAAAAAGCTGAGAGTACATGAAAAAAAAAAAAAAAACATATACACACATCATTAACGTTGTCCTCATTTTTGTTGTTTTCTTTACAAAATATTTCTAACACTTGTGTTAAAAGCTTTCTATGTTGATCGAGCTCAGTTACGCTTCAACAAACGGTTACTGGTGGTTCAAAACGATTCTGTTAATTTCTGTGTCCTGAAAAGCTTCGGACATTTCTACCTACTGACTTAATATGTCAACTAAAAAAAATCTAAAAACTACAGCAAACCTGAGTAAAGTAGATTATCGTAAAGTTTCGAAATAAGATCTACTGTAAATTAATAATGAAACGTGGAACGTAAAATTATTATTTATTTATCCAGATTCATGGTAAACTATAAAAAATTCTTTAAAAAATTAATGTTTAATTTTTTTAGCGCTTTTAATATCTAAGCCATTATTTAATAAAAGTCTGTGTGTGTCCTCTTAGAAATGGTTAACCGCTGAACCGATTG